CCAGAGGTTTAGCTGATGCGCGGCGTACCGGACCGCAAACGGCCACAGAAAATGGGGGGCAGCCGCATGGATCATGGAGGTACGAGCGACCTCCATGACTAAGCCAATGCGATGCTCAGCAACCCCATTCTGCTGCGGAGAGGCCGGAAGCGTGAACGTCTGGCGGATGCCGTGCTCCGCACAGAAGGCTGCCAAGAGGTCGGAGGAAAACTCCCCACCTCTGTCAGAGTGCAGACGCAGGACGGGAAACTCCGTCCCGAACCGCTCGCGGAGCTGGAGACGAGCAGCGTGGATCCAAGGGATCAAAACATCAGGGACCTCACCCTTGGTGCGCAAGGGGAAGACCGTGGTGTAACGCGTGTAGTCGTCGACGACCAGCAGGAAGTACCGCTCGTGGCCCTGTCCACGGACGCGGGCTGGGCCCCACACGTCCAGGTGGAGAGTCTGTAGGGGAGCCTCTGTGGGAGGGAACGAGGAGGAGTGAGGAGCGGCGCGCTGCCGTCCCTCGACACAGGGAAGACAGGGAGGAGCAGGCGAGGGTGGGAGGGTAGGGAGAACCCTAGGAAGACCAGAGACAAGGACACGGCGGTGCATGCTACGAAGGCGCTGCACCGAGGGGTGACCAAGGCGGTGGTGCCAAAGGAGGGTCTGGTGCGACAAAGCGCGACACGAGCAGGGGGGCGCTAGCTGACCTGACTCAGACGCAGACGCAGCGACCTGAGGGGACACAGTAGTCAGTGTGTACAAACTAGAGCCAGGCGCACAGGTAAACGTGGCCAGTTGCCGGCCCGTCCGGGAGCACGTACAGTGGGTCACGCGCTGACCTCCAGGAGTGAACTGGTCAACCCACTGGTCCTGGAGGTCAGCACCACTCACCAAGATCGTAGAGAACGAGGGGAGGTGAAGACCTGACAGGGAGCCAGACGGGACCGCCGGACACGGCAGGACCGTGGAGGAGCACGCAAGGACTGGACCCCCAGAGGGGTCTGCCAGGGAGACTGGAACCAGCCGGCTGAGCGGCGTGAGGGTGGTGCTGTCGCGAAAGAAGGAGCGGGAAGCACCTGAGTCAAGTGTGAAGGTGTACAAGGCCTCAGCAGGCGCAGTACCAAAGAGAGCAGACTCACCAGCACCTGGAGCAGCAGCCTCACCAGCACCCAGAGCAGGAGACGCACTAGCACCTAGAGCAGCAGCCTCACCAGCACCGAGAGCAGCAAGCTCTATACCTGGGTCAGGCGGGGCGCACAGGTGACAGGTACGGTCAGCACTAGTAGGCAATGCATACATGGCAGTGAGAATAGCATCATAGTCAAGAACAAAGATATCTACCCTCTGCCCAAGCAGCTCCACGCAGTCGGGGAGCTCAGCCTCGTCACCAAACTCGGTACGCCAGGCGTCACTCAGATGGGCGAAGCAGCGGGACTGGGTGTGACTAAGCGTCCCGCAAGTCTGACCCGTCCGATCACCTGTGCGAATGACGTACGGGCAGCGAACTGTACTCAAAGACCCTCTACTCTGAGCGTACCACTCGTGAAGCTACTGGGACGTAAGTGTCTCGCGTGGACGCCGCTGCAGCTGCAGCTGGCCACTGCCAGACGCTCCCAACTGACCAGCTCCAGGGCGACAGCTACGACGACTACCGCCACAACCCCAACTAGTGTACCACTCACGAAGCTGCTGGGGCGTGAGAGACTCGCGCGGACGTCGCTGGAGCTGCATCTGGCCACCGCCAGTACCAGTAGCAGTAGCCTAGCAGAGCAGGCGCGGCAGGCAGGCAGGCAGGCAGACAAACAGGCAGACAGGCAGGCAGGCAGGCAGGCAGGCAGTCTGGCAGGCAGGCAGGCTGGCAGGCAGGCAGGCAGGCAGATGGTGCGGCAGCGCGCTAACAAGGCAGGTGCTCACCAGTGGCGGGAGCTCGCCGGGCGAGCAGGGCCGGCGCTCGGCGGGCGGCTGCACGGGGTCCAGGGGCGGCGTCGCGGGTCCAGGGGCGGCGTAGCAGGATCCAGGGGCGGCTGCACGGAGTCCAGGGGCGGCTGCACCAGGGGCGGCTGCTCTGGGTCCAGGGGCGGCTGCTCGAGGGTCCAGGGGCGGCTGCACCAGGGGCGGCTGCTTCAAGGGCCAGGGGCGGCTGCTCTGGGTCCAGGGGCGGCTGCACCAGGGGCGGCTGCTTCAGGGGCCAGGGGCGGCTGCTCTGGGTCCAGGGGCGGCTGCACCAGGGGCGGCTGCTTCAGGGGCCAGGGGCGGCTGCACCAGGGGCGGCTGCTTCAGGGGCCAGGGGCGGCTGCTCGGGGTCCAGGGGCGGCTGCTCCAGGGGCAGCTGCACGGAGTCCAGGGGCGGCTGCACCAGGGGCGGCTGCTTCAGGGGCCAGGGGCGGCTGCTCTGGGTCCAGGGGCGGCTGCTTCAGGGGCCAGGGGCGGCTGCTCTGGGTCCAGGGGCGGCTGCACCAGGGGCGGCTGCTTCAGGGGCCAGGGGCGGCTGCTCGGGGTCCAGGGGCGGCTGCTCCAGGGGCGGCTGCTGCAGGGGCCAGGGGCGGCTGCACGGAGTCCAGAGGCGGCTGCACCAGGGGCGGCTGCTCTGGGTCCAGGGGCGGCTGCTCGAGGGTCCAGGGGCGGCTGTACCAGGGGCCAGGGGCGGCTGCTCTGGGTCCAGGGGCGGCTGCACCAGGGGCGGCTGCTTCAGGGGCCAGGGGCGGCTGCTCGGGGTCCAGGGAGGGCTGCTCCAGGGGCGGCTGCTCTGGGTCCAGGGGCGGCTGCACGGAGTCCAGGGGCGGCTGCACCAGGGGCGGCTGCTTCAGGGGCCAGGGGCGGCTGCTTCAGGGGCCAGGGGCGGCTGCTCTGGGTCCAGGGGCGGCTGCTCCAGGGGCGGCTGCTGCAGGGGCCAGGGGCGGCTGCACGGAGTCCAGGGGCGGCTGCACCAGGGGCGGCTGCTTCAGGGGCCAGGGGCGGCTGCTTCAGGGGCCAGGGGCGGCTGCTCTGGGTCCAGGGGCGGCTGCACCAGGGGCGGCTGCTTCAGGGGCCAGGGGCGGCTGCTCTGGGTCCAGGGGCGGCTGCTCCAGGGGCGGCTGCTTCAGGGGCCAGGGGCGGCTGCTCGGGGTCCAGGGGCGGCTGCTCGGGGTCCAGGGGCGGCTGCTCCAGGGGCGGCTGCTGCAGGGGCCAGGGGCGGCTGCACGGAGTCCAGGGGCGGCTGCACCAGGGGCGGCTGCACCAGGGGCGGCTGCTTCAGGGGCCAGGGGCGGCTGCTCTGGGTCCAGGGGCGGCTGCTCGAGGGTCCAGGGGCGGCTGCACCAGGGGCGGCTACTCTAGGGGCGGCTGCTGCAGGGGCCAGGGGCGGTTGCACCAGGGGCGGCGTAGCTGGTGCAGCGCTCGGGTCCCACAGGCGCCGTGACTGGCGACGGGGGGCAGCGCGCAGGCCAGGCGGGGCCGCGTTGGCGGCAGGGTGGGGCTACGACCCCAGCAGGGCGAGGCCGCGTCGGCGGCCGTAGCAAGCAGCGCGAGGGCTGCGAAGCGACGCGCGGGGCAGGAGAAGGCAGCGCGGGGGCTGCGGGGCGGTGCGCGGGCCTGACAGGGCAGCTAGCGGGCTGCGCGCGGGCCTGACAGGACAGCTAGCGGGCTGCGCGCGGGGCTGACGAGGCAGCAGGCGGGCTGCTAGCGGGCTGTACGAGGGCCAGCAGAGGCGAGCGCGAGGGCTACGCGACGATAAACAGTGTAGGCAAGGGGCGGGGTAACTCGGTAACCGGCGGAAAACGGTTGGTGGGCCCTGAAAAACAGTCCTAAACCGGTCCTAGGGACTTATATTGCTCTTAATACCATGTCGAGAGTAAAGGGGAAAAGTGATGTTGACTATCGAGAGAGTTGGTACAAAATAAAACCTAAGGGGTTGTAGTACCCCACAGTGAGTACCCCACTAAAGCCTACCTAAACTATAGCATATAAACATATGTTTGACAGTCAGAATCAACTGTGCAAGAATGATTAACTAGCAAGCAAGGATGAGTACAAGTACTAGGTTTGACCCAAAGTGTTGTACTCAGTAGAGGCTACCTTACTACAGCCTACACATAGAAATGTAATTTGACAGTTTCTGCGAAGGAATATCCCTGCGGAAATGGGTCGTCAAGCCAGACGACCCATTGACGACTTGACGACATGCTGCCCCGGGCAGAAAAATATTAAAACCCTATCAGATGGCATGCCATCCGAGGGAGGCATCAACCCTAAATCCATGCCTCCTTGTGTTTATGGTTGATGCCTCCCGGACCGGATGAATGCCCGAATGGGTTTTATTTTTTTTGCCCGCGGGCAGCGAGCTCCCCTGGGCGGACTTGCTTGTCCGCTAAGATATATTCGAAGGTAACCAGTCAGCGACATCTGTAAGTCGAGTGGCGACAGTCGCAAATTTCGCAAAAGAAGAAGAAAAAAAAAAACGAATTTGATGGCCGCTTAAAAAGTTGACAAGAAAACGACGCCAAGTCGACTCCAAAACGGCCAAGAAGTCGACATAGTGTGCAACAATCGCCTACGAAGTCGCATGGTATCGCCGAACGACATATTTTTTTACATCGTCAAATGAGAAATATCTCTGTTAAATGTGCGATACCCAACTACTGTAGTAACTCCTAATTTTACAACTTTTCCGAACCGGCCTGCAAATCGGCTACCAAAGTTGAAAGGTTGGGTGTACACCCGTTCCCTCCTTCAGCAACCAGGTTACACCCAACCAACCTTAGGTAGGATGAACAAACTTACCCTTTATTTACACGCGGGTTCTACAAAACCGACGTAAGAGGAGCAACCCGGGTTTGAACCGGGGACCTATCGATCTGCAGTCGATTGCTCTACCACTGAGCTATTGCTCCACGTCTGAATAAGACAAAGTAATCACTTTACTACGTTTTTATGTCCTTGGATTTCGAAGTCAATTGGATTATTTCTTGATTTACAAGTGCAGTTTCTCGCCTCACACGCCGACGACCTCTCCTCTCCTCCGACGTGCGATCGCGGCGATGGGGGCGGAGATTCACGTGAAGCATCTATCGAACGTGAAGTACTCACTGGACGTGGATCTGACGGCCACGGTGCGTCAGCTCAAGGAGCAGCTCGTCGACAAGTCGGGCATCGCCGTGCCGCAGCAGCGGTTAATCTTCAAAGGACGGATTCTCAAGGATGACGTCACCCTCGAGAGCTGCGGTACGACTCACGTGTCGTTTGCGGCTCGGATGCAGTCGGTGTTTAGGAAGCTGTTTGCGATTCGCCGGAGAGCCGGGTAGATGTGCGTAGAGCGATGTAGATGAGGGTGGCGTGGAACGTAGCCTGTTGGAAAGGTGTGCAGAGCGGTGCAGGGCTGGGTGAAGCAGTGTCGTAGCATCTGGAATTGTCGAGTCTAACCAGCGGATTCGACGAGATTCGACGGATTCGTAGGGACCGGCCAACAAACCGCCAGCATCCGATGCGAGTCGCCTGCATCGCACGCGATATATTGCACGTCTCAGGGTTCGCATAGTCTGCCGCAACAGATTCCCTTCTGCTCTTTTACTTGAGCTGCCGCAACTCCGATCCCTTCCTTGAGACGCAAGTGACCGCGAGAAGCGTCAGTATCAGGGACGCGCTCGCGTGTGCGGGACCCGAAGGGGGAGAGGGGAATTGGAAGCGGGAACGGGAAGGGGAGGGATTCACCTTGACCTCCCCGCGTGGTTGCTCCCCCCGTGCTTTGGTCCCTTTGCGATCTGACCCGCCGTCTCCCCATCTCTCCGTCCCTCCGCCCGTTCGCACTGCGGCGCCCATCGCCGCTTCCGCTTGTCGCGCGTCGAACTCACGAATTTACTTGCCGCTTAACACCCAACACCGGACTCTTATCAGTTTCTCCGTCTGACCCATCCCGTCCCATCCCGTCCCATCCCGTCCCGTCCCGTCCCATCCCATCCCATCCCATCCCATCCCATCCCATCCCATCCCATCCCATCCCATCCCATCCCATCCCATCCCATCCCATCCCATCCCATCCCATCCCATCCCATCCCATCCCATGCACTCCACTGCCCCCCGTATTTATCCCATCCCCCCCGTCACCCCCCTCTCCGCGCCACAGGCATAGAGGCGGATTCCACGCTGCACCTCGTCAGGGGCGGCGGGGGAGCAGCAGCGGCAGCGTCCCCCTCATCCGCGGCGCAGCCAACTGCCGCGCAACAAGGCACATCCGCCGCGCCCTCCGCAAACCCCTCAGCAGCAGCAGGCGCGCCCGCCGCCGGAGGCGCACAGCGCGTCCCCCCGGACCTGCTGGCAGCCGCGCTGGGCGGAGGCGGAGCCGCGGACCCCCTAGGCCTGGGCGGACTTGGCGGAATGGGCGGGCTAGGCGGCCTTGGCGGACTTGGCGGACTGGGCGGGTTGGGCGGGCTGGGGGGGCTGGGGCTGGACAACGGTGCAGGCGGAGGCCTGCCCGGGCTGGAGCAGTTCCAACAGCAGATGCTGCAGAACCCCGAGATGATCCGCGACATGATGAACCTGCCTGCCGTGCGCGCCCTCATGGACAACCCCGAGGTGATGCGCTCCATGCTGGCCGCCAACCCGCAGATGCAGCAGCTCATGGAGCGCAACCCCGAGCTGGCTCACGTGCTCAACGACCCCGCCGTGCTGAGGCAGACCATGGAGGCGGCGAGGAACCCCGAGCTCATGCGCGAGATGATGCGCACGACTGACCGCGCGATGAGCAACATTGAGGCGATGCCGGGCGGGTTCAACATGCTGCGCAACATGTACCACAACGTGCAGGAGCCGCTCATGGATGCTGCTACTGGGGGTGGTGGTGTGGGGGGCGCTGCAGGGAGGGGGGCGACGGGGACTGGGGGAAGTGGGGAGACGGGGGCAGGAGGGACGGAGGGGGCTGGTGGGCCGGCGAACACGGCTCCGCTGCCGAATCCATGGGGTGGTGGAGGTGAGCTTGGGAGCTGTGCTCTCTGCTGTTCGGTGTTGTGTTGTGCTGTGCTGTGTACAGTGCTATGCTCTGTGCTGTGCTATGCTCTGTGCTGTGCTGTGCTCTGTGCCGTGCTGTGCTCTTGTGTTGTGCTGTGTGGTTGCACGATCCTGTCTGCTTGGTGGTTCCCATCCATCAAGCCACCGCCCATGATTTTCCCCCTTTTCACTCTCCAACGCACCATTGCTGCCTGCCGCACCCTCTCATCGCTTGTGCAATTTTGTTCGCATTCTTTCACCTGCCTGGCCTCATCAGTAGTTCGAGCTCACCTACCTCTCTTCCCCACCTCTCGCATCATCTCGACGCGTTCTTGGCCTCGCAGTTCCAAACTCGTGTACCTCTCTCTCCCATTCACCTCCTTGTTATCCCCGTTCTATTGTATTCCCTTTCCCCTTGACTTCCCTATCCCCTCACAACAATCCCCCTCACAATCCTTCTAACAACTTTTGTGGGCTCCCATAGCCCCTCTCAATCCCCCCTTTATTTACCTCCCTATCCGCTCTTAATCCTCCCTCTGTTTATTTCTCTATCCCCTCTCAATTCCCCCTTTGTTAAATTCCCTATCCCCTCTCAATCCTCCCTCTGTTAAATTCCGAATCACCTCTCAATCCTCCGTCTGTTGACTTCTCATCCATCAAGGCACCATTTCTGCCTGCGTGGCCTTGCCATTCTGAACTCACCTACCTCTCGTCCCACCCACATGCCGCATTCCCTCATCGCGTATGCATTCCTGATCCCGTTCCGTTATCCACCTCGCAGCTCCAAACTCGTGTACCTCTCCTTCCCACCCACCTCCATGTTATCTCACCTATTGACTTCCCTGTCCCGCCTTTTATTAACTTCCCCGTCGCCTCTCAATTGTCTTCTCTATCGCCCCTCCATTCACCTCCCTAACGCCTTTTTCCATCCCCCAGTCCTCCTCTTCACCAACTCCCATCGTCATCCCATCACCACCCCACCACCATCACCATCACCAGCAGCAGGCACTCAGCGCGCCATGCCTGCGGGGCTCGGCGGGGGGCTACCAGGGCTGAACACAGTCAACCTGCCCTTCCCGCCCATCGCCCTCCCGGACGTCTCCTCCGACCCGCCCGCCGTGCTGCGCTCGCTGCTCCTGCTGCACCTGCTGCTGCGCCTGCCGGGGGTGCCGCAGCAGCTGGAGGAGCGCCTGGCCGACCCTGCGTTTGTGGCGGAGGCAGTGCGGGCGAGTGCCCTGCTGCAGGGGCAGGTGGACGGCAACGAGGCGCTGCGGTCGCTGCTGGGGGATGCCGCTGCACTGCGGGGGATGCTGAGTGGGGAAGGGCTGGAGGGGTTGACCAGAGCGGGGGTGGCGGAGGGGCAGCTGGTTGGCAGCATGGGCATGGTGCGGCGCCTCATGGGGGGCGGAGCGGCGGGGGGAGCAGCAGCAGGGGCGACTGGTGGTACGGGGGCAGCAGCAGGCGGTGCGGCAGGTGAGGTTGCAGGTGGAGCAGGGGCAGCAGGAGCAGCAGGAGCGGGAGCGGGTGGGGGGGGCGTGGGAGATCTGGATGCACTCATGCGAACGCTCATGGGGCCAGCCATGGCTGCAGCAGCGGCAGGGGGAGGAGGCCTGGGAGGGCTGGGAGGGCTAGCTGGGTTGGGGGGGCTGGGAGGGTTGGGAGGAGGGGCGGTGCCTCCGCCAGGGGTGCCACCGGAGGAGTTTTATGCGACGCAGCTGGGGCAGCTGAGGGACATGGGGTTTGGCAACGAGCAGGACAACATTGCTGCACTGAGGGCCACTGGGGGCAACGTGCAAGCAGCCATTGAGAGGTTGCTGGGCGGGTAGAGTGAGGCATGTGATTAAAGGTGTGTTCACGGGGAGAGGATGTTGCTCTAGTATCTGAGTTTGTGTGACCTTACTGCGGCATTTGGTTATTGCTGGTCTGGGACATGGTGTTGCACTAAGGTTCGCACTTCTGCCGGTAAATTGAGTCTGGAACATTTCTGTGTTGCATCTTCTGATATGGCATGTCGAGATTAACTTAGGGCGTGTTTCTACGGCCTTATATCAGGCCAACCTCATATCAGATGTAGCAAGACTCAAGATGATCGTTACAAAGCACCAATTTCTAGAAAATAAGAACCAGTATCGCACTAGAGAGATTTGCACTCGCGCGACGTGGCACAGCACCAATCCAAGTCACGTCAAACGCATCTCTGTTTTGTCGGGTGTGGGCTGCAGGGTCATCCCTAGGTTTTGAGCCTGCCTGATGCGTGTTTTTTTCTGTCTGATGCATACGAATTTCCTTCAAAACATTTCTGCTGAATCAGAAAATTTTAAAATTCAAGTTCTGATTGATTTTCTTAGAGCCCTCCTCATTTCACTGTGTTCTGTACCTTACGAAGGAATTGCAAAGAAGAACGTGCGATTTTGGGACTCGAACTCGGATGTTCACCATTGTGAAGCCAATCGCAACTAACATCTGAAAAATGTTATAGTGCTTACTTTGTGTAGGCTATAGTGGGGTAGCCCATAATGGGTACAACCCAATTAGGGTACCCAACTCTTTCATAGTTCCTTCCTTCTCGTTCTAGATTCTGACATGGTTTCAGAGCAGGTCCTTCCCTAGGACCGATTTTTTTTTTTAGGGCCCACCACATCGCTACCCCACTAGCTGCCTTGCAGCCCTGCCCTAACGGCCCGCCGCCCTGCTAGTCGCTGTGCCGCCCCTAGCAGCCCGTCGCGCCGCCCTTAGCAGCCCGCGAGCCGCCCCTGCACCAGCACGCCACCCCTGCAACCCGCGCGCCGCCATTGCCACCCGCTACCCACCCCTGCAGCCCGCTCGCCGCCCCTGCAGCCCGCTCGCCGCTCGCTTGCGGCCCGCGCGCTGCCCCTGCAGCCCGCTAGCCGCCCGACTGCGGCCCGCTCGCCGCCCTTCGGCCCGCTCACCGCCCTTGCCGCCCGCTCGCCGCCCGCTTGCGGCCCGCTCGCAGCCCCTGCAGCCTGCTCGTCGCCTGCATGCGGCCCGCTCGCCGCACCTTGCAACCTGCGCGCTGCCCTCCTCAGCCTGCGCGCTGCCCCTTGCAGCTCGCTCGCCGCCCCTTGCGGCCCGCTCGCCGCCCCTTGCAGCCCGCTCGCCGCCCCTTGCGGCCCGCTCGCCGCCCCTTGCAGCCCGCTCGCCGCCCTCTGGCGACCCGCTCGCTCCCCCCCTTGCAGCCCGCTCGCCGCCCTCTGGCAGCCCACTCGCCGCCCTTTTGCTGCCTGCGCCGCCCGGCTACTGCCTGCCCCTGCACCGCCCCTGCTGTGCGCCGCCCTGCTTGTCGCCCTAGCCGTGCGCCGCCCTGCCTTGCTCTGCGCGCCGCTCTGCTGGCCGCGCGCTGCTCTGCTGGTCGAGCGCCACCCTGCTCTGCCCGCTATGGCTTCTCTCAGTGTACTCACCTTCGATCATGAGGGCCGTCCGATACAGTTCGATACGTGGCTCGACGACTTACAGCTGTACCTACTGAGCGATTCTAGAGACAGCGTTTCGTTGTTTGACCACACGTCTGGAGCCTCTCTCGCCCCTCCCACCACAGCTGACAGTGCGACTCGCTCATAGTGGCTTACCCGTGACGCTGCTGCTCGCATAGCCATTCGCAACCACCTTCCGTTAGCCGAACGCGCTCACTTCGGACAGCACAAGACTTCTAAAGCACTATACGACGCTGTAGTCGCACGTTACTCCTCCCCTGCCACTGTTGCTCTAGGCCGTCTTCTACTGCCCTACCTGTTTCCCGAGCTGTCCGCCTTTGCCACAGTAGAGGACCTCGTTACCCACCTTCGCACTAGCGACGCTCGCTACCGCGCTGCCCTCCCAGCAGAGTTCCTTGACAGGAACCAGCCCCCGATGTTCATCACTCTACTTTATAGTCACCCACTTCCCTGACTCTCTTCGCACTGTCAGGGACCACTTTCTCGTAGTTGACCCCACAGACCTCACTATCGACCTGCTCGAGCAGCACCTCCTTGCAGCTCAGACTAGCGTAGTCGTTGTAGGTGCCGCTTGTGGCACTCCTCGCACACCCTTCTTTGAGGGGTGTTCCCCCTCCCCCCTTGCCCCCTCCTACGCCTCTGCTGCTGCTGTTGACATCCTTGGTGCTGCGGATGTCGGGCCTGCTTCTGCTCTTTGTGGGAAGCGCCGCAGCAGCAAGGGCAAGGGTGGCAGGAGTGGTGGCGGTGGCAGGGGGGGTGGTAGTGGGGGCGGCAGTGGAGGTGATGGAGGTAGCGGAGGTGGTGGCAGCGGTGGGAGTGGTGGCGGGAGTGGGGGCTTTGGTGGCGGCGGTGGTGGTAGCGGTGGGGGTGGCAGTAGTGGCAGCAGTGGGAGTGGTGGCAGTCGGGTTGGAGCTGTTATGAGGGGAGGTTCTGGCGGTGGCCAGAGGCAGCAGCAGCAGCGTCGGAGCGAGACCCCTTCTCCCCAACAGCTTCGTGAGTGGTTTGCTCAACGTGGGGCATGTGGGGGCAGTGTTCGCTGCCCGTATGTCATTCGCACGGGTGACCGTGGTGGTGAGACATGCGGGAAGTCTCTCTCTCAGCTCCGCTGCTTTTCCCGCCTAGACAACACTTGGCGCGCAAAGTTTGGTGACGAGGCTTAGTGCCCCCGCTGGGCAGAGCTGCTTAGGTCGGGAGTTGGTATCTTTGCTCTTGACTATGATGCTATCCTTGCTACCATGTATGCCGTGTCTGTTAGTGCTGAGGGTGACTGTTATCTGTGTGTGCCGCCCGACCCAGGTATTGAGGCTGCTGCTCTAGGTGCTAGTGATTCTGGTCTCCCAGGTACTGCGCATGTCAGAACATTATAGTGCTTACATTTGTGTAGGCTATAGTGGGGTAGCCCATAAGGGGTACAACCCAATTAGGGTTACTACTAATACCCAACTGTTTCATAGTTCATTCATTCTCGTTCGTTACTTTAACATGGTTTCAGAGCAGGACCGGTTTTTGGGCCCACCACCTGCTGCCCTGCTAGCCACCCTCACGACCCGTCGCCTCTAGCCCGACCCCTTGGCCCCGTCGCCCCTAGCCACGGCCCCTTGGCCCCGTCGCCTCTAGCCGCGGCCCCTTGGCCCTGTCGCCCCGTCGCCCTAGCCACGGTCCCTAGCGACCCGCGACCCGTTGCCCCTAGCCACGGCCCCTTTGCCCCGTCGCCTCTAGCCGCGGCCCCTTGGCCCCGTCGCCCCGTCGCCCTAGCCACGGCCCCTAGCGACCCGTCGCCCCGTCGCCCCTAGCCGTGGCCCCTTGGCCCCGTCGCCCCGTCGCCCTAGCCACGGCCCCTAGCGACCCGTCGCCCCGTCGCCCCTAGCCGCGGCCCCTTGGCCCCGTCGCCCCGTCGCCCTAGCCGTGGCCCCTAGCGACCCGTCGCCCCATCGCCCTAGCCACAGCCCCTAGCGACCCGTGACCCGTCGCCCCTAGCCACGGCCCCTTGGCCCCGTCGCCTCTAGCCGCGGCCCCTTGGCCCCGTCGCCCCTAGCCGCGGCCCCTTGGCCCCGACGCCCCGTCGCCCTAGCCGTTGGCCCCTAGCGACCCGTCGCCCTGTCACCCCGTCGCCCCTAGCCGCGGCCCCCTCGCCCCCTCGCCCCGTCGCCCTAGCCTCGGCCCCTAGCGACCCGCGACCCGTCGCCCCGGCGCCCTAGCCTCGGCCCCTAGCAACGCGTCGCCCTAGCCGCGGCCCTCGTCGCCCCTAGCGACCCGCGACCCTCGGCCCCACGGCCCCTAGGCCCCACGCCCCTAGGCCCCTTGGCCCCTCGGCCCCTTGCCCCCCCCCCCCCCCCCCTTTCGTGTTTGGCCCCTCGGCCCCTAGGCCCCTCGGCCCCGCCCCTCGGCCCCGCCCCTCGGCCCCGCCCCTCGGCCCCTCGGCCCCTAGGCCCCTTGGCCCCTCGGCCCCTAGGCCCCTCGGCCCCGACCCTCGGCCCCTCGGCCCCTAGGCCCCGGCCCCTCGGCCCCATGGCCCCTTGGCACCTAGGCCCCCCCCTTCGTGTTTGGCCCCTCGGCCCCCAGGCCCCTCGGCCCCGCCCCTCGGCCCCTCGACCCCTAGGCCCCTTGGCCTCCCCAGCCCCTAGGTCCCCCCCCCCCCCCCCCCCTCCCCCTCGGCCCCTCGATCCCTAGGCCCCAGGCCCCTCGGCCCCTTGGCCTCTCTGTCCCTGCTGCTACTGCTACAGCTGCTACTGCTGCTGCTACTGCTACAGCTACTACTGCTGCTGCTACTGCTGCTACTGTTGCTACTGCTGCTCCTGCGTGCTGCACAGCTATGGCTTCGCTTCGGGTTCTCGCGTTCGATCATGAGGGCAGACTGGTTCAGTTTGACACGTGGCTCGACGACCTGCAGCTGTACCTACTGAGCGATTCTAAGGACAGTGTTTCGTTGTTTGACCTTGCATCAGGCGCCGCTCCTGCCCCTCCCGCCACAGCTGACAGTGCGACTCGCTCACAGTGGCTTACTCGCACCTGCCGTTAGCCGAATGCGCCCACTTTGGACAGCATAGGATAGCCCAGGCACTGTACGCTGCTGTAGTCGCCCGCTACTCCTCGCCTGCCACTGCTGCTCTAGGCCACCTACTTCTGCCCTACCTGTTCCCCGAGCTGTCAGCCTTTGCCACAGTCGAGGACCTGGTTTCCCACCTGCGCACTAGTGACGCTCGCTACCGTGCTACCGTCCCTGCTGAGTTCCTTGACAGGAACCAGCCCCCGATGTTCGTCACCCTCTACTTCATAGTCACTCGCCTCCCTGACTCTCTTCGCTCTGTCAGGGACCACTTTCTCTCCCTTGACCCCACCTCCCTCACTGTTGACCTCCTCGAGCAGCATCTCCT